CATACATCATTGACGGTGGATACTTACTACATCGTGTTGTGTGGGATAGTGAAGAAACATTTATCATTATTTTAGATAAATACGTTCAGTATGTACGTAGACATTTTGGTGCCAGAATTACGGCCGTATTTGATAGCTATGATGATTGCACGAGAAATATTAAAGCTGCAGAACAACGTCGTCGAACTTAGCAACATTTTCATCTTCCGATATTCTATTTGATGAGCTTATGACAGTTCCTACCAGTCAACAGAAATTTCTTGCAAATACTCACAACAAATCTCGGTTAATTTCAATGTTGCAGGATAAGTTTATTGGCGAAAATATATTGGTTAAACAGGCTAATAACGATGCCGACGAACTGATTATTGAAACTGCTAGAGAGCAATTCAATTTGACAAATACAAATATTGTTGTTGGTGAAGATGTAGACTTACTCGTACTTCTTACTGCTCGAACTCCACCTGAATAAACTATTCTCTTTCTAAAGCCAGGAAAAGCTCAAAGTCAAACCGAAATATATTCGTCAAAAAGTTTATCTACTTTTGCAAAGAGTCAAAATCATGTGCTATTTTTACACGCAATAACTGGCTGTGATACGACGTCTGCATTTTACAGGAGGGGTAAAGCAACAGTCTTTAAAATGTTTGAAAAACAAGATTTAGTTCAATTTAGACACATTGCTAATACTGAGTCGTATTAATCTGATTTCAATGTCTGTTTCAATAAAGAAACACCTCAAATGTGTCTATCTTCGTTAACAACTTGAACTTGAGACACTTGTTACAAAAATAATTCGACTAAGTAATGAAGAAAATGAAAAATTAGTATGGCATGTTCGAAGTTGGGCAGAAAAGAGCACGAACGAAAGTAATTACTTCCGAAAATCTCATTAAAATGCAAGAAAATATATTTTCTGGTTAAACCCAAATCAGGGATGTTTGCCCGAAGCTACAGCAAACTTATAATTTGTGAAGTGACAAGATATTTGATTTATCGAACAGATTAAGTAGAAAAGCTCAAGGACATACCAGAAAGTGCATATCAGAAGGTGATAAAATAAAAATTGGTCAATGAATAAATATTTTCGAGAAATATTACAATTCGTTTCATTTTTTCGAAAGACACCGTACACTGCTTTTGTTTACCAATACGGCCCAACGGAAGGTTCACCAACTCGCCTCAAAATGAGACAACATTTTATTCCTGATCACTTGAATTTATTGATCCTCAATATGAATATACCACCCACAGGAAGGGAATGGAAATATTCTGACAATTACTATGAATATACCTGCGTCATACTTGTCATATCCGCACCTTTTATTTTCAAGCTCTCTATAAGATTCGTTCAATAAATACCCCATTCTTATCCCAAGGACAATAAATTTACGTTATTTGAAAGGTAACAGAGCCGTTCACACCTGTGGGAGAGAAGGTCGATTTAAGGTTTCGAATTTCTGAATCGAAAAGTATAACGTTTCAAAAGCCTTTCACGAATTTTGAATATGCCAATCTTTTTCATTTGTCTGGGTGAATGTATTATAGTTCATATTGGTGATAATAATAATGAACGACTCAATTTATTTGCTAAAAATGAAAGGGTGTCACTTATCAATGTTTTTCAACTTAACCCAAAGAATCTTTTGTCATAACCATACAGGAGAAATGCATAACAATATCAATGAAAGAAACAATTATATTAAATAAAAATTTACATAATCAACTGACAATAGGTGAATTGACAAAATATATGACTTTGACCAGACAATATTACATAAGGAATAATGTAATTTGAAGCAACTCACATCAAGAATTTGTAATAGTTACTATAGTCCTTTTTTAAAATCGTTGCAGAAATAAATGCTTATTATTTATTATGTTTGCGAAACCCTTACCTCGAAATTTTGACTCTCAAACTCGAAATTCAACTTCAAATTCGAAATTGCGACTTTAGACTCGAAATTTAGAAATTAAAGTCGAAATTTTGAGGTTAAAGTCGCAATTTCGACTCTAAACTGAAAACTTTGACATCAAACTGAAACTTAGGCTTTTAATCTCGAAATTTAGAGATTGAAGTTGAAATTTCGAGATTAAAGTCGTAATTCCGACTTTGAACTGAAAATTTCAACTTCAAATTCAAACGTAGGCTTTTAATCTCGAAATTTCGAAAGTAGAATTTAGTGTTTGAAGTGGAAATTTTGAGTTTAAAGTCGAAATTTCGTGAATTATTAAGAAATATCGAGATTAAAGTCGTAATTTTGACTTTAAACTGAAAATTTCAACTTCAAACTGAAACTTAGGCTTTTAATCTCGAAATTTAGAGATTGAAGTTGAAATTTCGAGATTAAAGTCGTAATTCCGACTTTGAACAGAAAATTTCAACTTCAAATTCAAACTTAGGCTTTTAATCTCGAAATTTCGAAAGTAGAATTTAGTGTTTGAATTGTAAGTTTTGAGTTTAAAGTCTAAATTTCGTGAATTATTAAGAAATGTCGAGATTAAAGTCGTAATTTTGACTTTAAACTGAAAATTTCAACTTCAAACTAAAACTGTATATATAGTGTCTATATAGGTATGATGTAGTTTCAATCAACTATATCAGTTATTTTTGTGTGGTTTATGTAGAAAAATTGGTATTAAGGCCTGACATAACCCATTTATTTACTTTTTTTATGTTATTTCTTGGATTCATAATCACCCAAAAACGTCGTTCAAAATGTTTCAATTTTCACTCATTGCTTATTTTTATTTTATTGTAATTTCAGTTCAGGGTTTGTTTGGCTTGATATAATTGTTATTTATTTCAAGCTATTCATTTAAATTTTCAATTTCATTTGCTCTTTCAGGGAGCCCGAACTGATGAGTTTAATGTTTTTATGGTGAATAATAAATCATTATTTAAAAAAAAAAACGTTTAATACTTTATTTATCCAGGATATCTTATGAGGAAATGAAAAGTGGAGTGGCTTATACCATCAAAAAAATTAATTTCAATAGGAGAAGCGGGAATTCAAACAGCAGTACTGAAGAGAAACCAACTGCAAACCGATGAGTCGATAAAGTTTGGCAACGTTGCATAGATTACGGTGACTGGTCGATAGAGCTGAGCTTGCTGGGGGTCCGGACTGTCACCGAAACCACGTATTATTTAATCTGTGCCGAAACTACAAAGTTAGAACTCGCTTCGTTTGTCCCATCAGGCTTCCAAAGCGCGAATCAAGTGTAAGTTCTTCTTCGAAGACATGTTTATCAGTACCCTACTCCAGTTATTTGCATTCTTTATCAACGTCTCTGATAGCTGTATTGTTTGTGCTTCATAAAGCAACAGAATAAATAATCATGAAAAACAAGAACGATGAAATTACATTAGATGAGTTTCCCGCAGTTGCCACGTTTTCTAATTTTCGTGTAAACTGACTGATTGGAATTAACTTATGAGCGAAATAAAAAAGGCACTTGTTCAGTTGATTCCATTAAATATAGTATTGAATTTGTGTTGAATTGGTATAATACTGATAATAATACCACCATAACTTTCTACCAATCCAATATGAACCCACTGAAGACTATATTTGAAAAATAACTTTTTATTACACCCACACATCGTTGATACACCTTGTATAATATTTGTCTGTCTTACCTCAAGACTGGAAATCTACATTATCGATTTATACAGTTGTACGTGTCTATCATTCGATAGATGGCGCCAACATTCACTTTTATGCACAAAATAAAACATATTTTATTAATTCTTTTTTGTTTATTGGATACAGTGTTAAATATATAACATGAATATAAAAACGACTTGTTTTAGTTGACTGACTGCTTGTGTTTTAAAATGGTTGCCGATTTTTCTGAAATTGAGAAAAAAAATGTATTTCAACTTCCTTGCCTGCTCTACGATAGGCAAATATTCATGATAGTAAGGTTTACTATTTACAATTATATTTCTGTAGAAATCAGGCTGTATTTTTAAAACTCTTGACCAACGATCTTGGCGTGAAACTATTGCTTGTGTACGATTTTTTTCATTTTCACCCATAACTGAAAAATGATTGTTAAATATTCGTTATGTTTTGTGGTTTTGAGTTGTTAAATCGTGAATTTGTGAAAGTGATATGTTTTAATGCCTTCATTATAGACATGAGAAACTGATGAATAGGTAATAAAAATACTTCAACTCACGGGAAGCACAAGAAATCACAACGATATGTAAAAACAGCTGTCAAGCTTTGTTTTTGTTTTACCATCTAGTTTAGTCCGGTAGATGTCGTATCTGGACTATATGACATAAAGCCCTTGATTGTGCCACTTCCTTATAAAGAAACCATAATCGTAAAAGTAATATGCCTTGGTGAATTCAAAATACTATTACAGAAGCTTGTAATATTTGCAACTGAAAGCTATGCATGTCATCAACTTTTAATGCTGTATAAAGCTTGAAATAGGCCATCTTTGAAATATCGTTCACACATGTGTAGCATAACTGATACTTGGTGACACCCAAATCAGAAACAACTTTTGGAATCCAGGTCGTCGAAAAAAGGTTAGAGAATTATTTCTCCTCCAAAAACTAGTACCTTCCCCAATCATCGAACTTTAATACTCTTCTTGATGCGCGTTTCACCGACCTCTTAGTTTGCTTCATCTCCTTTTCGTTACTTTCATTTTGTAAATCACAAATGAAACTGTTACAATTTATTGGTCTATACTGTTCTTCATGTCAGTCATTATTTTCTTTACTGCGACACCATTCTTCGTTACTACAGGATATTCAAATGCTCTTTTTAAATCTCCCCCTAATTATTCAATTGCTTTGAATATAAAAATTTCCATGCGATTTCATTTTCCACCATAGACTTGAGGTTATGTAAATAACATAAACCATCAAAAAAATCCGCCATAACGCCAATATTTAGAACTTATGTTATATGAGGGATATTCTTGCCAAATATTGAGAATTATAATATCCTATTGAAGTGCTTAGCGAGCCGCCCATGGTTGCAGAACTGCATGTTGTGATTGTGGAGAACATAACGCCAACAATGTAAACAAATGTCAGGTTAGAACATAGAATTCCGATCTAAATACGGCTTGTCATTGACGTAGTGTGTGTACCTATGATAATGGGAGAACAATGTACAATACTAAAGAAAAATTAACGAAATATACAGGTTATTATCGATGTGTTGACGAAATTCAAAACTTCAAAATAAGGTAAGCAGCTAAATCGTTTTTCAGTCATGTCATTGTTGTCACCAAATCCAATCGACTCACCATAAACGTAGTTAGGTGTTGGAAGATATCAAATGTCGATTTGTTATTTTGACTCGTGTTACAGTCCAATAAGTAAGATATTGAAAGAGTCCGTGTTTGTTGACTACCAAGTTTTTTGTACCATTTTATCAGGATGTTTCAAAAGTTTTTTCCGTTTTTTTTGAGTCTACCTTAAATTGTAATATCTTAATCACTAGGAATGTAGGCTCTCATTGGTTTTCTGGTTTTGCCGTGGTCTTCTTCGGTTACAATATCCAAACGTTTCGACTGTAACTGCGGCAGTCACCTTCAGTGGCTGGCCGAAGTACTCTTCTTGATGTATCAACTGAAACTGAAGCTCTCATTTCTGCCAAGCCATTCATGGTGCTGTTTTTGCTGTAATGACAGCAACGTCGAATTATTATTCAACAAGAATGTATTTAGAAGCCATAGAAATATACAAACAGCAAGGGGACTTCAACAGAAATGAAGAGAGAACATTTCTACCAAAGATCTGGGATATTGGAGTATTAGCTAGCTCCCATTTGACCCGCATATATAAGATGCTTGGAACGTTCCCTTTCAATAAGTAGTTGAGGATAATGTTCTGGTTCGTTATGACTACGATATAACGGCCATCCTTCTGGTCTCATCTTGTAGATGTTCTCCACCTGTATTTTATGTTTCTCTTACAGGTCATCTACTGGAGGTTGTGAGTGTAGACCCCTGAGAATAAAAGGAAGTATTTTGTCGTCTGGCAGGATGTAGGTATGACATTCAACTTTATTCTTAATAAAGGTGTTGACTATGGTGTGGTGGTCATTTTTATTTTCTGTATACAGCAATGTTTTCGCGTATACTTGAGCTGGAAACCTGTCTGCAACACCTGCTTCATAGTTTTCAGGTATTCCTTACTCACTGGTACCGTTCCTTTTCATGACAATTCGAGAAAGAGTTTCTCCTTGTTTGCCTTGGTCTAGTTTTTTCATCTTTTGTTCTTGTTTTTCTCCGTCTTAGCATGTGAACTGATCGAGATTTGTCTGGTTTTCCTGATAAATTCCTAAGGAAATCGGAAGCTTTCGTTTTGAGGGAGACGGGGAAACTCTTCTGGCTATTTTTGCTGTGATCGTGCCTTGAGCATTTCAATCTGAAACAGCAACTACTTCACGTCGACCACCTCACAAATTGTGGCTACGTAAAGTTATTCTAGTTTCTAAGTACTCTTATTTTACTATCTAGTGAAAAACTTTTGAAACATATTATTCGTCGGGTGCTTCGATTATGAATGATTTTATTCCATCTGGGGTCAGAGTTTTCGCCTTTTTCTCTCGTATAACTATCGGATTTGTGTTTCAAAAACGTACGTAATTTTGAGTAACGTTATGGTTGATAAGAACCAAAATCATCAAGACTTTCTTGTGTTTGGTCAATAGTGAGCTCGGGCGGCAACCACTTTTAACAGAGCTTTCTCATAGTCAAATGCTCATGAAATATAAAGCCAACACGTTCTTTTGATATTTCTACAATGTCAGCAACACTTTTCAAGTCACTGCTCCGCTTGAACGGTATTTCTCACATCAATAAGCAGTGTGAAATTAAAACACGACATTTATTTTGATCCATTGTTTTGAAAACAACAAAAGTAATATCACTCTTAGCACAATAACTCACAAACTTATGAGTAGGATATCATTAAAATTTCAACAGCTGTCTTTTGAAGGTTTATCCTAATTGAAAAAGCGGTGAATGCAATAAGCATTCTATGTGTTGGGCCCGAGACTGTTCAGCCTATGTAGTGTAGTCATAATTCTTAGCTGAATATTGTTTCCAAAGCGAGGATGATTTATATTTTTCAGATATTTCGGAAAAATATGCTGGATTTATATTTCCAAAAACGCCAATCCCTGAATTTTGTATATGAAGGTTTATATTTTTCTTGATTTATTGGGTAACAGACTGCACTTTCCGAATCCATAAACACTATTTTTCAAAACGAGAATGTCATTTCAATCAAATTGGTAACTGATTGGTGACACAAACATTTTATTTAGGAGTGTGCACAAATGATCAATATATTAACTTTATGGAATAAATTATTTCAGTCCGTCAACTTAATTAATTGAAGCGGTGACTGAAATAGAAATTTGCGATTAAAGCCGTGACTTCGTATACAGCATTTCATTTGGTGATAAATCTCCATAACGCCCAACCTGAATTGAACAAAAAGAGGATGGTGTTGACTTGTGTTACGTTGGCAAAAGTGTACTGATTTTAATGGCGCTCATTTCAAATAAATTGATTAGATATTGATTGAGATATTACAGTTCGAAGTAGACTTTTGAAACAACCCAAGATTTCAAACTTCTTAAACACCAAGAAGTGCAAATACAGTGAACTTTCTATATGCCACTTTGCACATTCATAATTTTCCATAAATTTTCTAGAATAAGACTAAAAGAAGAGGATGCGGAAAATATTAATGCAAATAGGGAAGATAAATGGCACATTCAAGAATTTTGTTGGCAAGAAAAACATTTTAGCAAAATTGAGAAAGACTTTTATGGAGACATAAACAACTGCTTTACAGATTTGGAGAAAATATATAACGAAAGAATCTCTGAGAATCAAGAGAGTTCGATTTTTTTCACGTACGTGGATAAAGATGGCTTCTTTGAGGACGAGGTGAGGAAAAGTTTTTTACGAGTTTCCAGTTCGAAAATTCAGATCATTTCTTGAAGTAAAGATAATAATAATAGTAAAATATAGAAAATATTCTGAGAATTCTGAAGGGCTGAAAATATTTGAAACTTTGAAAGATAAAACAGTAAAATCAAGAAAGGAATTACTTTAATATATGCTGACATTGATATTTCCTCATTTTTAGGATGCTGTCACAACTTCTTATTTACAAAAATACGTGGAAGGTATGAAACTGGGTGAAGAACATGTAGAACCTAGTAAGGTTCACTCTGATTACCATTTTGAACATTTACTCAACTCCAGTATTGATAAAAAAGCGATACAAAGTGATTTCGAAAGAATGACCATTTTAGCAGATTTAGGGTGAGTTACATTAGTACATAACATGCTTTTTGAATCAGACGGGATGTCATTTTGGTCATCTCGGGTGTTCATCCGTTCGTCTTCGATATTTTCGCGACGTTTCGACAAGATCCCACTTGCCATGTTCATATTCTATGCATGCCTAGCTGAACTTGAAACTGAAGTCATTATTGTCTATGTATACGTCGCCGTAGGCTGGAGCAAGAACTTGCACAAGTGTCGGTAGAAGATCGTATATCCGTCGCGGTGTTAGCCAGGGAAATATTTGTTTTGCGGTAGCCATTTTGCCAGATTCTACTACGTGAGAACATTGGAGCAAGAGAGTGTTTCGAATTTCAATTCAAACTACTTATTCACTGAGAAAAGTATCTCAATTTTGTCTTAAACTACAATCTCTTACTTGCAAAGTTCTCACTCTCCTACACACTTGATTGTGTTTTCCAATTACAACTTCAAACTCTAGGATTTTTTACGCTTTTAGGGATTATATCGAAGATATATGGATAAAGAACGAGCAGGTTTTGTGTTCAATTAAATTCGACAGGGTTTACAAAGTGGTTTCCGTTTATCCGGATTTCACGAAGAGTAAACCTTACTCTTTGAAAATTCAGGGTGAAAGACCAAAAAATGTTCACTACTTCATCGAACAATGTTCAGAGAACTTTTCAGAAACGGAGGAACAAAAGGAGAAAGATATTATGAAGAAAGTGAGTCCCCCCCAAAGTAATTTGCGAATAGTTTTCGGAAAAGACTAGTATGTGAAGTGATCTTGAAATGAAAACGTTGGTAATAATTTATGAAAAACTAACAGGTCGACAATATTGCTTGGCCTCTGAAATGCATAGAAGAAAGAGTGAACAAGTCACTGAGCAAGAGAAACTAAATCCTTGAGTAATTAAGCATACAAAACACAAGAGCCAAGCTAGAATGGTTCATCTGTATCTGAAATAAAAAAAACATAGTTATTCTCAATCCATTTACTTTACAGGTTGTGGAAACTGAACAATCTCTGATGAGGGACATCGTTGGCGACCAATTTTTCGTCCCACCTAAAAACAAGCTATATGTTTTTCTATTTTTCGAAATCTCAACTGCCAGGAATTTCGAAAACGACGACTTATATCTCCATTATCGAATAGAGCTTCCAAAGTATTGGTCTTGCGGAAACCCTCAGACCCTTAGAGGGACAACACAAACTTGCCATGGAATAAAGGAAGACGGCCTTGTCCATTTTGGCCACAATTTCGATGTTTTGTTGGAGTATGACATCGAAAGTTTACAGGAAAAAAGTGAGGACTATAGGAGTAGTTTCTGTTTTGGAATGAGTTCCCATTTATCTCACAGCACTGACACACCCATAATTTGTGTGGCTAACTACTATGTACAAAAGTACATAGTAGTTAGCCAGACTAGAAGAAAAACTCAAATAGCTCAAAAATGATAACATCAACGCTACTTCATGAATTTCAGGTGTTCCTGATACGCCGTACATTTATTTCGAAATAATATCGAAAGGCACTTGGGACCGCTATCGAACAGAGGGGCTCACTTATAAAAATCTTCCTGTATCAACTCCGGGCTGTCATTCTTACTCTCTGTCATGTTTTCGTTTTGACACGGATGGACCTTCTGGTAGACTGAGACGATTTTTCATCGGTGATGGTTACAATTATGAAGACCTCCGAAGGATCGGTCCACCTCAACAGGAAAATCAAGTAAGTTTCAGCGACGAAATTTGTTCGTTCTGATTTTTCTTCTTAACCCCTTTTGAGTAAATTGAACGTATGTCTTCAGTGTTGGGTTGTTTCACAGTCTCGCTTGAACAGTATCTTGGAAACAATGTATTTCCGAACCTATATTTATATTAACTTTTCTTCATATTATCAACTCCTGAACATATTTTTCAATGCAATTTGGAAACATTCTTTGTGTGACCCTTATTTTAAAAATAAAAATTGGCATAGAGATCTATAACTGAAATATAAATATATGCTACAATATATAGCATGAACAATATGTAGTGTTTTCATTATAGTTCGCAGGGTACTACCGCCTCGAATCAGTATGGATATCATCGTCGAATCTCAACTAATTCACACAAAACTTTGATAAATTATACACATTACACATAACCCTCCCTCTTGAATCTTTCTCCATTATTGAAAGTTGGATCTCAAACATTCACATTGTCACATTGTGGTCTCCAGTCACGTCAGAATATGGACTGGCCATTGAAGAGAGAACAATGACTATAACAATTAAAAAAAGATATAAAGATTCATGTCTTGGCGTTTACGTCACTCATACATTTAACATCAAAATACAAAATTTCGATGTTTTATGTGTTGCATATTTCTATCGTGAAAATTTTTAGGATTAGTTGTGTTGTGACGCAGAAGCTTAGAGGTTATGTGACCGCAGATGGAATAAATGTAAAACTGACGTAACGACCGGTCCATAATATTATCATGTCTATGGTGATCACACTGACCACAGAACTATATTATAAGTTATAGTTCTGTGACACTGACAGACACGCACTAGGTGTGTTCAGCGTGTTCATTTTTGAAAACCTGGGGTTGAGCGAGCAGACTTGATACCACGTGATTTGAAGAAGACATCATTATGTCAATAAAATATGTCTTGAACTCTTTTCTAAAGATTCTGACAAAAGTCAAAAATTTTACCAAAAGTTGATTTTCCGAAAAATTCTTGAAACTGAAACATTTTTGACAACTAAAAATCTGTCTGATCATAAAGTTGATCTCGGAGCTAACCAATCACATTCTCAGAGTAATATTTTTTCCTCGTTCTTGTAAATACCGAACACAGAACAGATGTAACTGAGACAACAGATCTGCTTTACCGATCGCTTACCGGGCGAATCGACTCTAAGGAGCGCTCATTTTCGTGTTTCTCATGAAGTATACGTCAAAACCAATTTTATGACTCGAACCATTCGTACCATTGAACTATCAAAATTATTGCGTTTGCGAAAAATGTCATATAACCCCATTGGCCCAAATACCAAAGATAATCGTATAATTATTAACTCTCTAATTTTTTGCAAATATATTTAGAAAAATTTATCAGCCAATTACTTTTCAGATGAGAATTTTCAACAGATTTGCTGCCAACACAATAGGAACAGGTAGGCTTGACTTTCGATTGAATGTCATTAACCAATCTCAGGCATTTTTACAAGAATTCAATGAGGGAAGTCTCCGAGAAAAACATATTTATGAGAAACTGAGCTCTTCCAGTTTAATAAAAAGTGTAAATCAAGTTTTACATGCATTCAGAAGGGCACGAAGAAATATGATTGAAGTGAAAAAAACTGTGAAAGATGGTTTTCAATAAAAACATTTAGAGACAGTATATTTTGTGTTTTCAACCTGCCTTTTTCAAAAGTAATATTTGGTAAACTGTGAAAGTTTCACTAAATGATTGTGACCAGCAGCGGTGCCTACTTTATATTTTGATCAGGTGTCAAAGGATCAATCCGACAAAAACACTCGTCCTATATCTCATACTGCAACTTACTCTTCTACTCGTGTTTCGCAGATATGTTGGAAGCATCAGGAGATGACTTTCTGATGATGCCATGGATGGATGGGATAAATATATATATTCATTGTGCCGACATTATATAAATTTTACTTCAATAAATGCCCTATGCATCTGCCACTTGTCAACTGTCTTATGCTGAAAGTGTCCGGCCTAGAGCACATTATCCCGCTGGTTTTTAGTGAAATTTGACAAAATAAAAATCAAAATGCGACATCTACCGGACATATTGAAACTAAGTCAAATGGTAAATCAAAGGCAAAGTTCCCTCAGCTGTTTTTATATATTGTTGTAGTTATTATGTTTCCCGTGAGCAGAAGTAATTCATTCCACCTAGTGATCAGTTCCTCATGTTTATAGTAAACGGACAGTGCGTGTAATCAATACGAAGTTTGATGTAAAATCATTAGATACAACCCAACATAAAGGGCCGTTATGCTGTAAAAGGGGAGTGGTCTACTGCCTCATCAAAGATGCAAAGACAAAAAAAAACGAGAAGAAGAAAATAACCTAAGGGTCAAGTCACTCCGAAATTTGAAATGGTTGGAATACATTAGTAGGATTGTAAATGATATTTTTTGTACATTTTTTCTATTGAAAATGAGTAAACAACGATATAACTGGAAAGCAAGAAAGGTGGTTGAAACGAAAATAGACAGATCTTTCTCTAAAAAAGTAAGTTTATAGTGTATGTTACACCTACTTGTAATAACTTCTGTGAGGTGTTTTTAAATAATGGATTAAATAAATGAATTTTACTGGATAGTGATAGATGTACCACCGTATGTGTTGATTCATTTCACTGAATAACTGTTCATGGAAAAGTAACTTGAGAAAAACTATTTTTTCATTATTTCAGATAGAAGTTGATTTGGGAACAACTGGGCATTATGATGACTGTAACGAACTGGTCTTACCATCTGAAAAACGGAAAACAAAAATCAAATCGGAAAAAGCAACAACAAAAAGAATTTTGTCTAAGAAACTTCGTAAACGCTTGGAGAAAATTTTGGACAAAAAAAAGAAAAAGGAAAATGTAAGTAAGAATAATCTGTCAGACTTTTTATTATACCAATTTCTCAAAGTAACGCTTCAGTTCAAATGAAATGAATTGTAAATATCACTCACTCGATTTTGTCGTATTATTTTTTAGAGAGCTGAATTGTTGGAGTCCATCCAAAAAGTACAGGCATCTAGTGAAGAATTATCCCAGTTGACTTCCATATCATCAATCCAAACTAAGGGTTTGAAAAGGTACTTTCAGGAAGAACTACATCCAGAAAAAGTGAAACCAAAAAAAGAATCAAATAATTCTAAAGGTGTGTTCAAGATTAATACTTTGTCTGGAGCGAAGAGGCGTAAATTGTTGGCAACCGAAGATAAGGTTAAAAATGATGATCCTAATATAGTCGGTTTCCAGAGTAGTGGTTCTGAAGCCAGTGATTCCGAAACGGAAGTACCTGATGATATTGAAGAACCAGCAGCACCAGCAATCAAGGAAGATGCTAATTGCGAAACAGAAACTGATGAAAAAAATCGTGATGTCATTCTGGTTGAAAAAGAAAAGGAAGTGCCCATTGAAGTCAAAGATGATAAAAAAGTGAGTCCCAACAATGAAGAACTGCCAAGGAAACCTGCAGTTTTCGTTGACGTTCTGAGAAGTGAAGAAATACAAAGAGCCAGGCTCAAACTTCCGATTTTAGCCGAAGAACAACAAATAATGGAGGCAATCAATGAAAACTCAATAGTTATACTTGCTGGTGAAACGGGTAGCGGTAAAACAACACAGGTACCCCAGTTTCTGTACGAGGCAGGATACGCTTTGAAACAACAAATAGCTGTTACAGAACCTAGAAGGGTTGCTGCCATTTCAATGTCGAAAAGAATTGCCGAAGAGATGAATCTCAGCCAGAAAGAAATCAGTTATCTGATCAGATTTGAGGGGAATGTTACTGATGATACAAAAATTAAATTCATGACCGACGGAGTTTTGTTGAAAGAGTTGAAGAGTGATTTCTTGTTGTCTAAATACTCTGTGGTTATATTGGATGAGGCTCATGAAAGGTATGTGGTCACTTACTTGTATTTTACTCAGGCAACAGAAGTTGTTATCTTGTTTCATTGAATCCTTTCTTACTTTTCAGATCAGTATACACTGATATACTCATAGGTTTTCTTTCTCGGATAGTTCCTCTACGACATAAGAAAGGAAACCCCCTGAAACTCATTATAATGTCGGCTACATTGCGACTGGAAGATTTCACTGAAAATCGCAGACTTTTCAAGAGTCCACCAAAAGTGATCAAAGTAGAGGCTAGACAATTTCCCGTTACGATTCATTTCAACAAGAGGACTGACCAGAACTATTTAAAGGAAACTTTCAATAAAGTAGTCAAAATCAACACCAAATTGCCTGAAGGTGGTATTTTAATTTTTGTAACGGGTCAACAAGAAGTCAATTCATTGGTGAGGAAGCTGAGGAGGGCTTTTCCTCTGAGACACAAGAGTAAAATATTGGAGAAGACTAAAGAAATAACAGAGGAAGCTAATAACCAGCTCAGCGACAATGAAGACGTAGAAAATGGTAAATATTTCTTTCAAAGTTATTTTGATATTCCAGCCATGGTGTGATACTCAACTGTCAATTATTATCATCATTGCAAATGAAATTTATATAGGATGGTTCATCAAAAAGTCAAACTGTCTGAGGAGACTGAACTTTTCGCAAAAATCCAAACACACATCAAGTCAACTGTGATTGGTTGTAAGATAGTGAATTATGATTCTGGTTAACGGTGATTGGTTCTAAGGTGTGAGTTATGATTCTGGTCAACTATGATTGGTTCTAAAGTAGTAGGTTATGATTCTGGTCAACTGCGATTGGATCCAAGGTGTGAGTTATGATACTATGATTGGATCTAAAGTAGTAGGTTATGATTCTGGTCAACTGCGATTGGTTCTAAAGTAGTAGGTTATGATTCTGGTCAACTGCGATTGGATCCAAGGTGTGAGTTATGATTCTGGTCAACTATGATTGGTTCTAAAGTAGTAGGTTATGAATCTGGTCAACTGCGATTGGATCCAAGGTGTGAGTTATGATTCTGGTCAACTATGATTGGTTCTAAAGTAGTAGGTTATGATTCTTGTCAACTGCGATTGGATCCAAGGTGTGAGTTATGATTCTGTTCAACTATAATTGGTTCTAAAGTAGTAGGTTATGATTCTGGTCAACTGCGATTGGATCCAAGGTGTGAGTTATGATTCTGGTCAACTATGATTGGATCTAAAGTAGTAGGTTATGATTCTGGTCAACTGCAATTGGATCCAAGGTGTGAGTTATGATTCTGGTCAACTATGATTGGATCTAAAGTAGTAGGTTATGATTCTGGTCAACTGCGATTGGATCAAAAGTAGTAGGTTATGATTCTGGTCAACTGCGATTGGATCCAAGGTGTGAGTTATGATTCTGGTCAACTATGATTGGTTCTAAAGTAGTAGGTTATGAATCTGGTCAACTGCGATTGGATCCAAGGTGTGAGTTATGATTCTGGTCAACTATGATTGGATCTAAAGTAGTAGGTTATGATTCTGGTCAACTCTGATTGATTCTAAGGTGTGAGTTAAGATTTTGGTCAACTGTGATTGGTTCTAAGGTGTGAGTTATGGATAATTTCGCACTCACTCGAGAAGAAACAGTCACATAATTGACGCTTCTTTCAATAGTCTTGAACCACAAGAATGTATGGAGAGCTTCAGTATCTTTTTTATTAATGCTACAAATTAATACACATGCAGGTGAGAATTCATTACAAATTCCATTGAGATAAATTGTTAAGCTATATTTCTCAAGTCAGTAAGTTGTCATTGCAACAGGGTAGTTTTAATAATGATAATAATTTATTTTCCATCAGACAGTTTGTCATAAGACTACACTAATAATAAAAAACCTTATAACAAACAATTCTATGTGTATACATTACAACTTATACAGTTGTAAGTAAGTATTTTCCAAAAACGTAATTCTAGGAGTACGTCAAGGTTATTGACTTCATAAAGGCTTATCCGAATTCTTTTCAGAGTGTCATATAATGTTTGATGATGACACCGCAATTACTCTGGCTGGAAAAAAACAGAGTTATCCTAATAAATACAATTGTAGATAAATTAAAAAATCTTTATATGATTTCTTCAATTTTCTTCAGGAATGAAAAAAGCTCTCAAGAAAAGAAAAAAAGTTAAAATCATACCAGAAATCAATTTGGACGATTATAGTGTACCAGGTGACATAGAAAACGAATCAGAGGAGGAACTTTCAGATGAAGAGGATTATGCCGATATTACTACCATAACGAATGCTCAACCCCTCTGGACTCTCCCGTTATACTCTCTTTTACCCACTCATAAACAACAAAAAGTCTTCGAACCTGCTCCTCCGGGTTGCAGACTCTGCATTGTCAGTACAAACGTAGCAGAAACTTCACTGACAATCCCCAATATAAAGTATGTGGTAGATACTGGAAAACGTAAAGTGAAATTATATGATAAGGCAACTGGCGTTACAAGTTACGTCGTCGATTGGACCAGTAAGGCATCGGCAAATCAGAGGGCCGGACGAGCTGGCAGAGTGGGACCCGGACATTGTTACAGGTATAAATTAAAAGCATATTGTTTATTAAGAATTGTTTTCTTCAACATGAACATCACAGAAAACCAGAGCCCAAACACAACACATTTAGTCTGGTTCACATGTATTCGATTTAGTTTTTTTTAGTGACATTTTTCAGCCCTGTCCTAAAATTACGACCAAGGTGTCATTCGATTCGTATTTTTGCCGAGAAAGGTTAAGGAAAGGTCCGAAAACGCGCCGATAAAAGTTACAAAAGTTATAAACAATTTAGTGAAAAAAAATGGGGCTTTAGTTTTTTCTTTATATCTCGGAAAATTTTCAAAATTTTGGAAATTTGAAAAAAGATTTGAAAAGATCAATGAATTTGCGTTAAAAAAGTCCCGACTCCCGAACCTGTATCTCGATTATTTATAATTTTTACAGAGCCCTGAAAATAGAGACAAAAACGAGTAGTCTGGCTTCCGCGCGCCTTTCGTCTCTCTGACATAAAAACAAAAAAAA